GGTCGTGGTCGTGGTCGTGGTCGTGGTCGTGGTCGTGGTCGTCGTCGTAGTCGTAGTCGTAGTCGTAGTCGTAGTCGTAGTCGTAGTCGTAGTCGCAGTCGCAGTCGCAGTCGCAGTCGCAGTCGCAGTCGCAGTCGCAGTAGTAGTAGTAGTAGTAGGAGTAGTAGTAGTAGTAGTAGTAGTAGTAGTAGTAGTAGTAGTAGTAGTAGTAGTAGTAGTAGTAGTAGTAGTAGTAGTAGTAGTAGTCGTAGTAGTAGTAGTAGTAGTAGTAGTAGTAGTAGTAGTAGTAGTAGTAGTAGTAGTAGTAGTAGTAGTAGTAGTAGTAGTAGTAGTAGTAGTAGTAGTAGTAGTAGTAGTAGTAGTAGTAGCAGCAGCAGCAGTAGTAGTAGTAGCAGCAGTGGCGGTAGCGGTAGCGGTAGCGGTAGCAGTAGCAGAGGTAACACCAGCAGCAGCAGGCAGAAAGCAGTAGCATTAGCAGCAGCAGTGGCAGTGGCAGTCGCAGTAGCAGCAGTAGTACTAGTTTCAGCAGTACTGTCGGGTATTGATTTCGTACCAATCAACACCCGACCTGCAGCAGGTTGAAGCGAAGACATGCCCCACCGCAGAAAGCACGCTCAGCATCGGGTTAAAGTGGAAAATCCGGGAACGAGGATTCGCTCGTGTTGGGAACTCTTTTGAGAGTTCCGTCATTGTTGGCATTTTGGAATGCAAACGGGTGCACTGGTTGCACAAACCTCAGAAATCTGCGGCTGGTTGAAAAACCAAGTCACAATTTGGATTTGATGGGTGGCAGGCGCAGCCGAGGAAAGACTCGTTGCAAAAACTTAACACCGCGAGACCTCAAGAGGAGATGCTGGGTGGCACACCCAAACTTCCTGAAACGAGTGACTGGTTAACCCGAAAAGGGTGTGATGTGCTTTCAGAGACCCGAACTTCCCACAAAGTGACTGGAGATTATGGTTTGGAGCGCAGGATGTGCTCCCCCGAAGTGTAGGGTTGGGGTTTGAAGGGGCCATGGTTTAGGCGCAAAGGCCCGAAGAGGAGGCAACAGTTGTTCGGTTGCTCGCCTGTCGCGCAACGTGCGGGTCGGAAGGAAGAAGCAGGGTGGCAGCGGTGACTGGGTAGTTGTTAGGCGGAGGCAGAGGACAAGGAGCCGCAGCCGCAGTGCCGTGCATCGGCAGAACACCAACACATCCTCAAATTACAGGCTTATTGCGTCGCTGCGGCTACCGTTCTTGTGGGGTCGGCCTGGCAGCGGCCTAGTTCTTGAAGTCTGTTGACTTGCAAACTCACGGTGGATAATCAGCATCCATGGAAGTTGTAAGATGGCATACGCTCGGCTGGAATGTCGAGTGTCGCATATTGGGTTAGATGAGGTACTGCACATGAAAACTGCACTTTGGGAGGGAAGTACCTTGAAGAATCGACCGTTTCATTCTGCTGGCGATTGGCGCTGTCTGAGGGTGTTCGATTCGAGCTGCTGCCAGTCACCAGGAATGGACCGCGCTCCAGGACGAGTTCGTGGCTGCATTGCACCAGCTCTTCAATTGGCTGTGCACCCGGAAGAGTCCACGCAAAAGTCACAGCAGGAAGCAATTTATTTGATGACGCTTAACTCTGGAGCTTGGTCACCATAGACAGGGCTTCTTTAGACGGGCAGCTCAAGCCTGTTCACTTTCGCTGCTAGTGGACACTACGACTGACTTGTCGCCCGGGGTCCCATGATCCCAGCCTTCGAGGCCCAACAACCAGCTGCCCGGTAAAACGCCGAAAAATACAAACCCTAGAAACCTAGGTATCTCAAACCCACAACGTCCTTTGCTCTGAGGCACCGATGCCACCTCTCCGATTTCCGAAGCGGTCTCTACGGCGTGCGGGGACTCAACCGTCTGCTCCGGCTCGCATGATCATGCGGATGTGAATGTACTTTTGCTGTGCATGTTGTCTCTGTTCCTCTTCTTCACGAAATCTTGCTAGGCTTTTCGAACACATCATCATAATGAGCACTGATGCTCCCATTCGCCCACTTTGGATATGACTACTACTGCCTGCTTCATTGCAAGTGCTACCACGGCAATTATTCAAGAATGATCATCGCTTCAGGTTTAGGGTTCAGCATTCAGATGGCTTGGAGTTGCGTGTTCTTGCTACTTTTAATGCACATGGTCTACCGATCTGTGGCCCTGAGGCTCCGAGTTGCTGACTGCCCAAGGGCATCTTTGTGGACGGAAGATTCGGATTTTCGATCACTTCATTGTAGTCATCGGTTGACTTAGGCTTGGCATTAAAGGGAATCCACTTTTGCAGGTCAGGTCGACATGTGGGCTTGCACTTTAAATACGCTACACTCTACATCCGAAGCTTGAGATCTAAACCAGACGCCGCCCAGATGAAGCAGCGTTTCGCGGAGTACTTGCAGCGTGTGGACGGAAAGCAGTCCCTTGTGGACGATTTCGCCCGAAATCCCGGCGCTGTATGGCATTGGTGTTTCTGGTAATGAGGCCTGTTCTTAGCCTCTCCACCTATGTCCGTGTCGAGAGAAACCTCAAACTCTGCTTCTCTCCTTGGTAGAGAGAAATCAGAGGTCCTGAGCTTCAACCTCTTTACAGAGGAGTATCCAGACATGCGCAAGCAGGACCTCGGATGACTGAGTTGACTGGTTGTCTTTCTGCTGACGCACGGCACGTGCTTCGAATCATCGCAAGGTGATATGTCTGCAACTGAGTAAAGCTAGAAGAGGGTGGAGCTTGCCCCGTATTGATTGCAAGCCTAAGGGCTTGAAATCCATGGCTTTGCAGGATGCCACGAAGGCAGAGTTCCATTTGCGAGCGGACGAGCTGCACACTAGGCTGGTGGCAGAGGCGAGAAGAGAAAGTTGTCTTGCAATCCTTAAAAGTGTGGTCTGAAGTCTGGAAAGTTGAATTAAGAAAGCTTCACATGAGGGCATGTCGAAGGATCCTGGCTTGGATAGTGCGTGTGTGAATGTAAACCGAGCAAACACGAATGGGAAAGCGCATGAAGAAATGAAGCAGTACAAACCGCACAGCAACGAAATCAAACTGTTTTCGGAGTTGGTTCGAGAGCAGCGTATTTGGGATTCTGAGGTTGCCAATCCTGAGGCCAATCCTCCGGCTAGATATGTATGTGCAGGAAGCAGGAAGCTGCAAACTGTCAGCGACCACTTATGCCCGGCTTCACTTGCTCTGCCTAGGCAAGCCATCGACAAGGGGTCGGGAATGCAGGGTGGTTGCTTTTGTGGACATGCGGACCACCTTTCAAAAACATGATCGTTCGTTCCTCAACAATGTCCTGTCTGTCAAGTCGCTGACTGACATCTCAGTGTCAGATGCTGGGGCTTCGGTTTGACGACTGTCTTAAAGAACTTCCACGGAGCGCCCCAGCATTGCATCAAGCACGGCCTTGGAACGGACAGACGAGGCCTCACATGCACAGGAGAAGGCTGTGTGTCACCGTGAGCGAACGATCTGCCTAAACTTGACTCTAAGCTCGACAGCAGCTTTGCTAAGACACATATGGAGGCATGTAAACACTCGTGGGCGGCAGGTCCAAACACAGGTGAAGCAAGGCCAGTGAGAACATCCTCAGATCCAGAACAGATCCTTGATTGTAAGGTATTCGTTCTCGCTGTTTGCATGCATTCTACAAGGACTCTTCAACACCCCAAACAGCCGTTCTGCGGACGTGGCTGCGCAAGTGTGCTCCAGGTGGAAAACCAGCGAACGGCAAATCTAGAACAGCTCGAGGTGCCAAATGTGCGGGTTGGGGTTGTTAACAATCATCCAGATTGGGCATGCAGTATAACTAGTTGTTGTTTCTATTGCAATTGTCAGCCTTATCGTCAGATGGTCAAGTGTTTCTACAGGCTCGCGTTTCTGACGGGCCTGGAGTCTTTCAACATCCTATTTTACGATTCATTTGTGGCCTCGGCGTGTTGGAGTTAGCCCGTATGCTCAAGGATGACATGCTACGACACACACACACACATACACATGTTGTGCGTGTCTATGCAACAACGCGGACATCAAAGCTGACAGCTCACACGGTACTGCACTAGAGAACGATGTCGAAAGTACGATACTAGCATAACAAAGACTCGCAAGGGCAGGTATTTGTTGATCATGTTTATCCCAGGTGTGGATATTCCTCTGTGAACTATCAACTTGTTGGTGTTGTGACGCTGCTTGCCGGCTTATGGTTTAGGTTGGCTTAGATTGAGGATAGGTGTGCAAAGTGCACCGCACTCAGGCTTTATTGTAGTGGGCTTGGGAAGAGTTTCAACGACTGTGGGAGGTGGGTGGGTGCAGGGGGGGATGTTGAACTTCTTGCACTGCCAAAATCGAAATTGTTGGAAAGGTTGGACCGTAGGCGATGATGCAAGGGGTTCTACAGACCCTATTGTGCGAACGCTTTTAGACGTGGACTGACAATATTTGTGTGTTTTGCCCTTTACGCCCCCAACCCGTCAATGCCTCAAGCTCTTCAAGTCCTCCCCTGAACCATAGCCATAGCCCCTAAGTCTTGAGTCCCAGATACATTCTGCTCCTGACTCTCACCACCTCAGAACCCTAAGAAGCCCCTGTGTAAAGGTGTTGCAGACGAGCCGATGGCTCGAGTCGCAGACGGAAGTATTGGCCTCCCAGGCCGGCTTTTGGGACCTGAACCCTTAGCTCCCGAAACTTAGGGGTATTTACGGCCAAGGCTTGCGGGTCTAGGGTTCTGGGGATTTCGGTGCGTAGGGCGTTGGGATTTGAGCAGGGATGAGACAGTCGGGTGGCAGCTTTTCAAGCCTTCGACAGAACGTCTCCTGTAGCCGCAGTTCCGGTGTCAGTCCGCTTCTCTTGCTCCAGTGTTCCTGATGATCTACTAGTTTGAGCACATGGTTGAGAATCGCCAGACTAGTCATCGGTTGTTCCGGCTGTAAGTAAATTGATCAACCCAATACAAGCTCAACAGCCCTACAGCTTGCATGGGCCGAAGCCATGGGCGTCTTCCGCACGATTGACGCACACTGTGGCCTTCCGGACATTCAGCTTCTGTTCACCAGCGATCAGAGACCCCCGCCTCAACGATGTGTACGACGGTCGCCGTGTAGGCATGGGCACTGCGAGTTCTCGGAAGCTAAGAAGAGATCGAAGACTTCCTCCTGGGATGGGATCGTCGCTACCACTTTGGCTTGGACATGGAGCTGTGGCACTTAGGTCGGTTTTTGTTGGTTCGTCCATGATTCCTGGTGACGTCGGCTGTGGTGCACGGTCGTCGTGCTTGTCCTCACTGCATGCAAACCCAGCTCCAGACCGAAGTAACCAGAGCTCGCATCGCGTGGCATTTTAGCCCAGGAGTGGCGGCCCAACTTTGTGAAGGGTGCGCCGCCAAGTCGATCTGCAACTTGACATCAGAGGGTTGGGGCTTACGGGGCCTGCAGGGATGAGTTGGGGCTCTTGCTTCTTCGAGACCTGCACTCCCAGAATAAATCTCTGCAGGAAGTCGTCCCCAAGTTGGTTGGAGGCTTCGGTGTCCAGGCTAAAGGATGCAAGAAATTGGCTGGCCTTGGCTTCTCAGGTTCAGATGCTTTGGTAAAGACGTCTCTCGCAACCCCGAGGCCGTCCTCACCATCTGCAATGGTCCCTGGGTTCCGGCCTCGGCATTCGAAGAAACGTTTGTAAAACAATGAGATTGGACGTCCTTGTTGCGCTCGTCGTCGTGGTCATTTTGGTGCTCTTTCACTTTCTTGCTGCGGCGAACGCAGCAGCCGCTTTTGCTTTGATCAAGATGATGGCCGCGGCGTTCGTTTAGCGACGACGCGACTTCAACTGAGATGACGGCAGTGGCAACAGCGACGACTGAAGCAATGGAACAAGACGACTACGGCAACGACGACGACGATGAGTTTGGTGACAAGAACGGTGGTGGTGGTCGTGTCATGGTCATGACCAAGATCATGACCAGGGTCTTGGTCAGGATCAGGCTGATGTTGATGATGATGGTTGATGGTGGCGATGATGACGATGAAGCTGCTGATTTTGCTTCTGTTGACGTTGATAGTACTGATGATGTTGGAGGTTACGAGGAGAATGACCACGACGATGAGGCGGATGATGACGTTAACGATGGAATGGCTGGCGTCCAGGATGACGGCGGTGATGCTCAGAGCATGAAGATGTAGTCGAAAAAAAGGATACTGAAAGAGAAGCAGACGCAGATATGTGCAGATGATTATGATGACTATCACGTCGCGACAGTTAGCATCGTCGTCACCAAAACCATTCTCATCATCGTCATCATCATCATCATCATCATCATCAGTAACGGCAACCTCAACATCTTGGCAACCACCGTCTTCAATTTGTTTGGTCATGTCTGTTCATCCTTGTTGCTGTCCTCGTTATCGTCAGCATCATCGTTGTCGTCATCATCATCCTTATCTTCAAAGTCGATGTCGCAATGGCCACCGTGTCAGCGATTCGGTTGCTGGCAGCGATGAGACGCTGTTCCGCCCGAATCAAGCAGCCCCTTTCCATGCGAGCCGTGCCCGAAATATCCCTGCACCCTGCCAGCCAAAGCGTAACGTTCAGAATGTTGAAACCCTAGTTAGCTCAGAGCTGCTGCGAAACCAACATTTAGAAGACTCCAAGAGGTGCTGGCAGTGGATCTTGTGCCCTTCCGCAAGAACTGGCCGAAGCCGCTCTTTGATAGCCTCTGGCCGCCCGGACAAGTTTGGGTTTGGACCTGTGAGTTTTGTCTTTGGAGGAGTTCCACATTCCAACATGAGCTTTTGGAGAAGTGTTTCCAAAGTCCAGGAGATTCCTCGAGAACGATGAGCACACCTTCTATGGGATGGGTCTCGCTTCCTGGCGGCTTTGCTCTTTCAGAAGAGGAGTGTATTTGGATCCGGAGCGCCCCACTCAAGAAGACGCGCCGGCTCTGAGTTCACCCGAGTAAGGCTGCCGATGCGGCGCGACTGGCAATCGAGTTCGACTGTGTGGCCGCTCCATGGACTATGGCCTTTGTTTTGGGTCTTCGGATAACTCACTCCAACATCTAACAGAGTCCCGCTGTCGAAGCCGTACTCCTTCAAGCCTTCATCGACAACTGAGTGAAGAGCCCTCACATGCCCCCCTCTTGCTCAGGTCCAGGGCATCGACTTCTTGTCCGCATGGCCGGAGCAGATTGTCCTCAAAGGACACCACGGCTGTTTCCATCCCTGTGACGGCAGCTCAGCAACAGAAGCATCAGCAACGACCATCACCACCATGACCAAGAACATCATCAACAGGACAACATCATCAACCGATGATATCAACACCGATATCGGGGACGAAACATGTGTAGTCTCGGCACTGCCAACAACAAGAAGAGCCCCAGCAGTAATCAGCGCCACAGTCCTCATCAGTGTGCCTGTTGCAACATCAGGAGGGCTGGAGGGCCTCGGGAACTCCCTCCTTGGGACGTCCGTGAAGCAAAGCAAGGCCGGAATCGATGGTTTTGGGCTCAGGTTGACGGCTGAGCACGTGGTCCGAGGTGCAGGGTTCATGCGAGCAAGGTTTTTATGTGCTCTAGGTTTTAGACTCTCGACTGGCTCGGCAGAGGTTGGGCCGAGTTAGTAAGCAGACCCCCATTATCATGTTGGCGGCCGTCCCAGAAACCACCGCAAGCAGATCCCTAAACTCCAAGCACGTTCACTAGTAATGCGTCCGTATAAGGCCATCACTCGCTCGAACTGGGACAAACGGCCGCTGTCCGAACAGCCGCCTGGGCAGCGATGGGACGAGACGCTAGGTTCACTAAGGAGTTTGTTTTCATTCCCACCCTTATTGATACGCTGTTATGAAATTATCGATGGTTCTTAGTGTTATTCCTGTATTTGTTGTACTACTTATGGCAGTCTCGCTTTGTGACGAAATCGTCTCGTTGTTGTTGTTGTTGTTGTTGTTGCTGCTGGTGGCGGTGGTAATGATAGGTGGCGGTAAGTGGCGGCAGTGGCGGTGATGGTGGTGGTGGTGGTGGTGGTGGTGGTGGCGGAAACGGTGGCGGTGGTGGTGGTGGTGGTGGTAGCGATAGTGGCGGTGGTGGCGGTGGTTCGGTTCGTTCCATGCGCGGTCAAGATGTTCGTGCTTCGGTTAATAGTAGAGGTGCTCAGGACAGTCAGTAGAGCTGTGGACGTCTTCCATCATTCATAGTGGCAGCAGCAGCTCCATGCCCCTGAGCATGTAAATGCGAATCCTTCCTTCATGTCAGTACCCACAGTGGTGCTTTTTGTCACTACTCGCAGGTACGATGCCACGGAGCTGAGTGGTTTTCCCCAAAGCGGCGTTTACAGTTGTCTACAGTTGTAGAATCTCTAGAGCTCTCCACGGAGCGCTCGAAGAACCCTAGAAGATGGAAGGTCAATGTTTTCGACTGAAAGCCTTTTTGAGCTGGGGCCTGTCTCTTCTCATCTCAGGCAGCTGACGTACTTGGCTGAGGATGCGCACCTCGGCCAAGTGCAGGCAGGTGCTGCAAGGCGCCGCCATCCGAGCAAGTTTCAGACGGGCATCCTCCCCACAATATGTTTGTCAAAAGTGCTTTGTTCGATGGCCCAGTGCCTGACACTCACGAACCGTATCTCAGATGCGATGCCTGCACAGGTAGTTGTGGGGTGCTATCAGGATGGATGGTAGAAACACTCAGTCAAAAAGAACTCTCTACCGTTTTCCCATCAAAGCTGCCGCGATCTGTTCTAAGGTATCTGTCTTGGAAGATCATGAGGCACCTAGCATCCCAGGCGCCTGCATCGGAGGCCAGCTCCATCTTCAAACAGGGTTGTTTAGAGTTTAGAACCGTGCTTCGAGCCCTGAGCACTCCTGGCTCAAGCACAGGCGATTCGAGCACGCTCTATTCAGGCACCAGCGATTCAAAGAGGCCTTTGGTTCGAGAATTGCCGATTCAAGAAAAGCCAAATTCAAGCACCAACCACGACATCAGCGCTAGATGTGCTCGGTAGGGTTTAGCGCTTGAGGGTTGCAGGTTTGGGGGTGTTGTGTGACGGGGGTTTAGGATTTTGGGATTTGGGGGTTCAGGCTAGGGGGTATCACCAGTAGGGGGAGCCGAGCTAGTGGTTGGGGTTATGGGATTTAAGGTTTTAATGTTTAGAGATGTTTAGAGTTGAGGCTTTGGAGCTGTCCGGCTTTGGGCTTGGATTTTCGGTATCTCAACAGAAGCTCTACTTGTTCAAAACCCCTATCCACAAATAGCTGACATATCTTGAAGCTCCTGGTTCCCATTTGAGGGTGCAAGAACAAAAGGGCTGCGACTGTATAGAGGTTATGATTGCTTTATGAGATGTTTGGTGGGGTCTAGTCTACGATGATGTTGCTGCACAGATGAAGGAAGTTGTACAGCCTCGCAGGATTCTGTTGTGTTTTTCTACTTCGGGGCACAAGACATCCCAATCCGGTTCCGAAACTATTGCCGGACATGCCGTAGTTTCGTTCAGCCGGACTACTACCCGGATTTGCGTGCAGCATCGCGTCGGCGCCCGACGCACGGCCAGTGCTTGAATCCCTGGTTCCCGACTTCGACAATCGTCGCCTTCGAGCCTTGTGGTGAATCGTCCGTGTCCGACCCCGCCCCATTGCCCGAATCGGTCCTTCCATCGTTTCTTTTTTAACCTGACCTGGCCAATATTGAGTTCAAGCATTCAACCGATGCTTCATGCTTTGCGAAATGCAGCAGTAGAAGCGAAGCTTGTAGACGTTTTGGTCCGGAGGTTTAGAAGTTCATCAAGTTTTGGACACAGGAGTGGCTTGTCACGATGACGGACATGTACTCGCACGGCCAGGAGCTGATGATATCATGCCTTGCTTCTTTGTTCTTGAGGTTGCGATGCTGCCTGCACCTGCTAGGCCCAGCTCCGCTGGTAAAGACGGCAAGCCAAGACAGTGCAAAAACGCCCATGCATGGATGACATCTCCAGCCATGGGAGGAGTTCATCCGCCACGGT